AACTTAGTACAACACCTATTAGGAGATGTGAGTTGGTTCAAGTGGAAGGATTGAAAAGGGCAAGGGGTAGGTCCAAAAGGACGTGATTGGAAGTAGTGCAAAATGATATGGGACTTATGGCCTCAATATAGAGCAGAATGGCAGGCCAAGATTCATGTAGCCGATTCCAATTAATTGGGAAAAAAGCTATGATGATGCATATCTGGAGGGAGGCTAACCAGGTCACTGATGATCTCTTCAAACAGGGAGCCACTTCTCTTCTGCTACCAAGATAACGGTGGCCGAGTCGTGTTTTCTTTGCTGTTTTTCTCTTTTTCCCTTCTTTGGGCACTATGTTACTCTCTTTTCTTCTTTTTTACTGTTTTTCTTTCTGCTGTCGCCTCTCTTGGTGGCTGTTGGCTTGTAGTCCCTATGGGAACTATTTGTAATCTTCTTCTTTCATCAATACAATGTTCACAACATAAAAAAAAGTAAACAAAATAACATTTAGCTGATGGAGAAGAAATTGAGGCTTGCCAAAACATTTGGTCGTATTAATAAGAAAAGGTTCATTACATGGGCCTTTATTGATAAGAAGTGGAAGTCGAGCTTGTTTTGATTGTGATAAACTTTACAGTAAGAAAGTTCTCGCATACTTTTATAAATACAAGAAGAGAATGTTCAGATTTGGGCACCTGAAAAGCTTATCCCTCCCATTTTTTGTAACAAATATTCTAATCATAAAAGGAGAGGAGAAAATTCTTATACTGATGCTGTTGGGATGCAAAGAGATGATGTCCCCATGTATGGGGATGCATAAGAGAGCTACTAGACCATCCAAGAAGTCCATTTGGATTGAGCGGCTGGACAAGATGGGAGACAAGTTCGATATGGCCCATGCTTGAAATAGATCTTTGATGGTTTGAAGTATGCAGCTCCTCATAAGAGGGCTAGTGGGACAGATTAAGGATATAAGATATGCTCAGTTGAGGTGTTGCATCATTGACATATTCGCCTATTGCTATGAACCTAGTGTGTGTCAGACAGTAAGCTTATCTGTGTGACATGACAAAGACTATGGAAAACACGAGCTTCAAACCCTTGGCAAGGTTATGTATCTCAACATGTCATCCAAGATGTGTGCCTTTGAGAGAAACCCTGGCTTAGTAGTGATATTTTGACATTTATCTGGCTATTTTTATATGATAGGTTTAATTTGTATGAGGAACACAATTATGACTAGGTTTGATTATTTGGATGTAATTAATCTAATTTTGATAAATTTGGAGTTCTAGGTAGCTTGGGATAAGTTTAGAATAGGTTATTCCCTATCCACTTTTTTAAATAATTCTGTAACCTTTATTTTTAATTATGAGAAGAAACCTTTAGCTTGGGTTTTCTCTATGTTTAGAATTTTTCTTAAATCTGTGCTGGTCTAATACCCACATCAAGGGGGTTACGTTGGACTATTTTGAATACTATCATTGGTAATTGGGGCTTGACTGCTTCTCAGGTGTCATTGCATCTCCAACTATTTCCTTGGTTATTTAATATTTGGAGAAGTAGTTTACGGTTCTACTATGTATTTTTTTTTTTTCTGTTTGTGCACTGTTGACCTAGAGCAACACTGATTAGGAGGGGCTATTTGGTATAAATGGAAGGCTCTAAAAGGGTGAAGGGAAGGCCCAAAAGGATATGGATGGAAATAGTGAGAAAAGATATAGTGACATATGGTCTGACTAAGGGTATGGCCCTTGATAGAGTAGAATGATAGAATAGGATTCATGGAGCCGACCCTAAATAGCTGGGATATGACTTGTATGATGTTGATGACCTTGTTTTTTTGTTTAATGATATTTACACATGCTGTCGCTATTGAGTTGAGGATAGATAACGGGTTTAAATGGTGGTTATTTCATTGTTCCATTGTCAGCCCAAATTCTTCCACGACATTTCAGTTTTCATTCTTTTGTGGTTGTTTGCCGGTCGAATCATTTCATTCCATCCTTAGACGACCTTTTTGCTTGTTTATCTATTGAGACTTCAAAACCTGCGTAGATGGATGGCTAAAATTAAATTTCTACACTTAGGAATATAGAGGTGGGCAGATATGTCGTTAGAAGAGTGAGATCTCAAAAATTTATGAGATCAAGGGCTAACAAAATATAGTAATCTTGGGTTTTAGAACTTGAATTTGTTTTTTTGTTTGATAGACCTATGAGGTGGATGATTGTTTCTTACATTCTTTCTCTAATTCCATGTGTGGAAGATGCTTCATTTGTGGGGTTGGAGCAAAAGACATTGCAAAAACAATTGATAGAAAATGTAAAAACCCAAGTATGTGGTACTGTTTTAAGAAGAAATGACGCAATTATAAATCTTTCCAAAACAAGGGACAATTACAAAGTAATAAAGGGCAATTATAATGTAGGAATTATATTGACCGAAATACCCTTTAACACTTCTCAATATGCAAGGTGTTAGATATGAGTTCTTTTACTTGTTGATGATTGGTTATAAAGCTTTTAACAATGAAGCTAGGAAAGATGAACACGCATGTCTGAGGGTCTTACCATGTGTGGACACTTGGTAGACATAGACATGCATGTGGATAGTTCTATAAATGCATACAACACTTTTATGGATTGTCTATGGCGTGTCCCTTTTCTGGACATGTTGTGGTTTTGGAATTTGGCATTTCTTTGTTTAAAAATGTCATTTTTCAATGAATAATATTTTATTTTAAAAATAAAAATATTTTAGAATAAAATAATATTTTATTTTAAAAATAAAAATATTTTAGAATAAAATATTATTTTATTTTAAAAATAAAAATATTTTAAAAATAAAAATAATATTTTATTTTAAAAATAACTTTATTTTCTATTTGAGGTTATGAGTGGTGATTATATCATTTTGAATAAATATATTAGGGACCTATTGGATCGATGCGCAAGAGTGTCAATTTTCAATGAATAATATTTTATTTTAAAAATAAAAAGTATTTTAGAACAATAAAGTAGTTTAGAATGAAAAATAAAAATAACTTTATTTGTATTGTGCTTACGAGTGGTGTGATTATATGATTTTGGATAAATGCATTAGGACCCTATTCAATAGCTATGCAATAATGGTGCTACATTTTGAATTAATAACTAGCTAATAGTTTTTAGTTTATTCCCATATAGTTTTGTCACAACCTTGCACATTGCAGTATGAGAAATTTTTGATGAATAAAATTCTGATTCACAAGGTATAATTTTTTGGAAGATTGATTTAATTTAATTTAATTTTTTGGAAGATTGATTTAATTTAATTTAATTTTTCTCTGATGCCTAACTATTGTTAAGAAATATGATTTGTTGAATATGTAAATGTAGGGGTGAACTACACATAATTCAATATATGTACATATAAGCATGAGCACACACGTAGACACCCTATATTGTGTGGACGTGTTATGTCTAAATGTCAATTTTTTGGGATTCACATTTTTGACACTCTTATTTGTGTCAAAAATAGACACATGTCCATTTCTATGTAACATAGCAATAAAGCATTGCTCAATGAAGACAAGATTTTTATTACAGATTCATTGTTAAGATTGCAGCCTTTTCATTCATAGAAATTGTTATAGTTTATGGAGGTCATAGACTTAACTGTAATGATAAAGACTAGAAGATGGGAAGTATGCTTTTTGGTGTCTCAAAAGCCACGTGTGGGCAAGGAGTGGAAAAAGAAAATGCCCTGTGTAGGCGAAAAGTGGAAGATACATGCCTAAAAAAAATCATGAGCCTTATCTTCTCTATATGGGGGGACGAAACTCCAAGATGTTTGTTCTCCTCTGGTATTATTTATGAATAATTCCATGTTGTAGCTAAGGTTGTGGTAAAATATTTCAAGGAACTGTTGTTGGTAGACCAATTTATTCTTCTTGTCTATCACAAGGAGCAAAGGAAATCTACTGGTAAAATTAATGAAGCAGCTCATCTAAAGACATGCCTTTCTGCACAGACTCAGAGATGAAAGATTAAAAGTAGTTAAAATCTGATCCAATCGTAATAGCATTTCTAATTCATACCCTTTCCAAAAATGCATTTCAAATCTGAAATGTGAATCCAGGGTGTTGTTATTTTATATTGCACAGCAATACTTTATTCTTTATAACTTTTTTTTATCAAGAAAAAAAGAAAAAACACTTGTATACTTTATATTGCACAGTTAACTTCATAAAAGAAGACCACTTGTATATTAGGGTATTTAATAGTTTTGAATGCATAAAACCATCAAACCCAAACACAATAACTAATACATGAATATTAACTTGTGTTCACCTTAGAAACTAACGTGAAGAACATCCATAACTGTTATTTAGCCCGAATTGGTCACATATTGATTATTGGTGGGTAGCATGCCTACTAATCTCCTCATCATCAGTGTTTCCAACTTTAAAGTAAACACGTTCTGACATTGTTATTATGAGATACTTAAAGCCCATTATAGCTGAAGTATTGGGACTTAGTGCCAGACCTTGATTGGGTGCAACAAAACCCTGAAACGATGATTGCATAAGGAGGCATCAGGCAGATCATGCACCATCTTTACACTTTTCGTGTCAATTAACAAGACCTATGTGCACCCATTCATACGTATGAATATAGTATGACAAGTGCTCTATGAGTAGACCTTCAATACTATGTCTCTATCTTGCTCCAGAAATGTCAGAAAATCTCATGCCTTGCTCCAGAAATGTCAGAAAATCTCATGCATTTTCCTTGCCATGGACAAGAAAGAATGCATCATAGGATAAGATGCAGAGCACAGTTCCTTCCAATCGTAAATAATGCTGAAAAGAATCTCCTTTTTTTCTTCTAGTGATATTATTCGAAGTTAGGATGTAGTGTTGCAATCATCAACACATTAACCAATCAAGGGGAAGCCTAAACCATTGCACTACAAAATCTTAATCCTACTATAATGCACATTGCTAACTGTTTTTTTTTTTGGGTTTCCATTTGCAGAGTTCCTGGACAAAACGAGCAGTGGAAGTAGATAGTCCCCAACCAATGTCACCATGGGGTAAATCAAGTGATCCACATGACAGTACCTGTGCCCAAGTAATCCATCCAAAGCAAGAAATATTTGGCAACAACTGGATCCCCTTTCCTGAAATTAAGGAGAGCCAAGAACAAAAGAAACAATTGCTTGGTAGAACCAATTGTTCAGACATATCCCTTACCGAAACAGTACAATTTGTTAATCTGATTAGCATAATGGACTACATATCTTTTTATTTTTTAAATTTAGATAATGTAATCTAATCATTACATTTCACTTTGTTAGGGGATTGTGTGACCGGCAAAGATTTGGAAATTGGAGTACCCCGGAATCCAGATAGACCAGTTGAAATTTATAAGAAGGATTGCACTAATGAGGGTGTAATACATATTGTCAGTCATGAACCGAATCATAAAGAAAACAAGGATGATGCACGAAAGGAACTCCTGGTGCAAGGTAGTGATGACACTTCAACAGAGCCAGCTGCTCAGGCTGCTGATCTCATTGCTACCATTGCCAACAGCACAAATGCCCATATTCAAGCTGGTAATAAGGAGGTTCAAGCTTCCACTTTGAAAGCCTTGGATGTTGAAGAGGGAACTCCGGAATCCAAAGATTTACCCTTCCTAGAGTTGAGCTTGAAAAGGCTGAGATCGGTAGCAGATGGGGGTGCTGACGCTGATGAGGACAAGAACAAATTGAGACATTCTGGATCCTCAGCTTTCTCTAGGTGTGTATGTTCATTCCTATAGTCTCTGATGCATTCATTTGGTGCTGAAGAAGCTCATTGATTTGGTAAATTTCCATCTTTTGTGTACTAGAAAATTGCAAGAATGAGAGATTTGAAACTTGTAACCCTAAAATTTTCTGACATTATTCTGTATGTGAGAAGATTATCTTCAGTTTGGAACATGCGACTTAAGTTAGTTTCCTCACTATGTGCAGATATAATACTGGTAGTATTCAGTCCACCCATCTTTCAGGCATTGGAGGGAGCTGCTCCCTTCCGGTGAACAACTCTGATGCTGTGAAACCAGGCCTCGTTTGCAACATGGAAAAAACCAACCGCAACCATTGCGCTCATGGCAGCAGTGACAACGATGATATGGGATCTTCCTCCAAGAACATATTCTCAAAGCCTGCAACTCTCATCGACAAATTAGCAACAGATTCAGCCCCAATATGCCTTCATCCCTCATCTTTCCAATCTGCTCAGTATAACCACAGTTGTCCATCTGAACTTGGGCAGCAAGAGGAAGTTGATGTGGGTGACAACATGGGGATCATGCAACAAACTCAACATAAGGGTCATCAATTGCAGGTTCAGCATCACCACCACCACCACCACCATCACCATCACCATCACATGCATGGGGTTCAGCAGCCACAACAAGATAACGATGACATATCCCTCAAAAACATGGCAGCAAATGCACCACAGTGTGGCTCATCTAATATATTTGGAGGTGGTGGGGATGGAAATGCTTTGAATTATAGCGTGAATGGGAGTACATCAGGGAGTAATCATGGGAGCAATCTGCCCAATGGAAGCAGCACGGGGGTGAATGCAGGTGGAACCAATGTTGAGAGCGAGACCGGTGTAGTGGGGGCCAGTACTGCAGGTGGGAGTGGGAGTGGGAGCGGGGTGGACCAGAACCGGTCTGCTCAACGTGAGGCAGCGCTCATGAAGTTTCGGCAGAAAAGGAAGGAGAGGTGCTTTGAGAAGAAGGTAACTAATGACTGGCTTTGTCGCTGTTGTTACTCAAGGTTTTGAGTTTTTAAGTGTTGGGATGATTTTGGTAATTTAGCAACATCAAATTTTCAAATTTCGGACTGAATTTTCATTTGGAATCTGGTCTAAAACAATGGAATTTCTTATAAAGAATGAAAAGATGGACCAAAGAAATGAAAGAGTGCCAAGTTGAAAACACATCCATAAGTTGGCCCTAATACGAGATGTGCATGCACATATCCATCTCTATTTTTGCATGAGTGCTTGTGTATTTTGTGGTAAAGTTGCCAACATGTGGATATGACCCATTTAGTGAGCAGTCACAAACATCTGATCGGTAGTTGGAAAGTTGTCGATTTAAGAAAGTTTCTTTTCATCCGTTTTTCTTATGAGCTATTCAAGAATAAACTATTAGCCTAATGCATACGTATATTTTGTCATATATTCATGAGTAGTTCCTTGCTCACTAGAGATATCGGCTAAAAAAATCCTCGAGCAGGTGAGATACCAAAGCCGAAAGAGACTAGCCGAACAGCGACCTCGAGTGCGTGGGCAGTTCGTGAGGCAGAACGTGTATGAGGCAACAAGTCACGACAACGCTCAATAGGATCAGCACAGGTTGTGTGTACATGAGTTAGTATTAGTATGTTGTCATAGGCCATTCCAGTGTTTCAGAGAAATGGACTTGAAACTCTTGAATCAAACTGTTTGTTAAGGACTGCTTAGAAAGAAGACCACGCAGGAGTGGGCGTCCTTCAAAAGGGGCAGTCCCCCTCCTCGCAGAAATAATGTTTATTTATTCTTCTATGTTTTCCTTAAATGTTTAGTGTTACAAAACACGTAATGCTTGAATGGACGTTTGAGGTTTTCGGAAAGCAAAGGGCATCCTCGTGCTGAGTGTGCCTTCCGTTGTGTCTATCATGGGGACCACTGCTAGTTTGCTGCCATTTTTTCCTGCTATTTACGCTTTCTCGCCTCATTTCATAAGTTGTGTTAGTTTATTTAGTGTTTTAAAATGCTTCAATCAGGATACCAAATCCCCGATTTGGACTTGGAATTGGTTGAGATTAAAATCGGTTCCAGCTTCGTCCCCTTAAAGCCTTCCTTTTCATTTTTTTTTTTGGTTAAATTTATCTAATGTTATATTTATGATCCCCTAAATTCCCTCCCCCATAAATCCCTATTTCATTGTTATGATTTTTAAAACTTATATTTTTTGGATTGTTGATTTCGATAAGCAATCCGGCGATCTAACACGGATCTTTGGGATGGGCTTTTGACCCCACTGATCCGGTCTTTTGAGCACTAGTTTTAGGATTGGTTTGTGGCTACCACTTGCTCCTAGAATGTTTGACCACCCCGTTTTTTTCAGTGTTCTCTGTTTAGTACTTTTCTATTATTTTTGTCCTTAAATTACAAGAATTGTTTTTTGATTTTAACCTTTGTCGAATTGATTTTCTAAGGAAAATGACTTTCTAAATCTGGGAATAGAATGTGAATTTATTTCCTTGGTAAAACATTACTTTGATAATGGCTTGGGGCCTTGGTAGTATATTGTCGGGCTTCATGATGAGGATTATAACTCCGTTCTCACCGAAGGTTAGGGGCTCAAATCCCTATCGACTTACTACTTTTTTCTGACTCTATTTTCGTCAAAGGGTAAGGGTTTAAATCCTCACGTACTTGCGACTTTTGAGAATGGCATGGGGTCTTATTGGTAGTATTTTCGAGCTTCATGTTGATGTTGCTGACTCAATTTTCACCAAAGGGTAGGGGCTTAAATCCTTAATGACCGACCACATTTGAAAATGGGTAGGGCTTTTGGTGAAGTCTCTGATTCCATTCTCACCAAATGGTAGCGGCTTGACTTTGTGATTTCACCTAAAGTAACATCTTCAACCCATAGATTAATTTTAATAAAAAAAACAAAATCCTAATTGTATTCGTCTATGTACTTAAAAAAATCAATGTCTTGAAATTGTATAGAGACCCTCCAATTATTGGATTGTGAGATTTGAGTGTTAGAAAAACATCAATTTTTTTTTTTTTGGTGAGAATAATTTAGTACGCAAAATTTGAGATTGAAAAAATCCTGATCTTGTGACCTGAGGAAATGGAAAAACACTATGCTCCCGAGGGAGCATGGTGTACGTGTTCTTAAGTGAAACGCTATAGAGCATGTGATAAGCAAGTTGAATCCAGACCACGTCCTATTTGAAACCAATTTCCTTGCTCGATTTCAAGTGGAGTACCGTAGCGAACTAGTGGTGTGGTTTCTATAAGGTTTATATAAGGTTGCAACTTTAAACAATCCCATTAAGGCGCACTTCCAAATTTTATTGTAATATGTAATTTTGGTATAAATTTTTTTTAGAATTATCTCAAAATTGACTTTTTAGGTGCATCTATAATTCGTTGCAACCTCATATAATTTTTTTCCTTTAACTATCTCATAAAGAAATACAAATCATGTCAAGTGCTCTGGACAAAAGATTATACTAGTTATAGAGCCGAGGCTCCAAACAATCAAATTAAAGCCTACTTCAAAAATTTCATTAGAAGAGGTTGTTTTGATGCTCAAATATTTTCAAATTGATCATCTCGACCTCAAGATACATTGACATGAGAACAAAGTGGATTTCAAGTTTTGGAAATAGTGCATATTGTATTGCATTCTTAGACCGTCAATTTTCAATATTATCAAGTTTTGATAGATCTGTTAGGTAAACACTATTTTTAAAATTTTAAATTTTATAATTAAAGATGAAAATATATTTTAAGACTATCACAAAGAGTTCTAGTATTGAAACCATATTTCCCGATACTATTTGGCTCTATACAAACCGCAACCTTATACTATACAACATGTTTTTCAGACTCAACTTCGCTTTCGAGCAGAGTTCAGTTTACACAAGGACGAGGATACTACTGGCAATGTCTACCAAAAGTTTTGATAAAAACTGATCAAATGTTTCACTGCTATGCTTGTATCATTCCAGTTTTTTTCATCCAATTCAATCCATCTTAAATCGATTTGGATCAAAACTTGTGATTTAAGGATTTATTCATCAATTTTTGGGTGGAAAACATCTATTTTTTTAACCATTTCACCTATACATGGATTTCTCTCTAGTTTTTCATCCAAAATCTTTGAAACCTGATGCAATTTGTTCTTGATTCAGCCATCCACAACATCTCTACATTTATTTGTTGAATCAAAGGGTAGAGATTGAGAAATCCGGCCCGAAAAAATATTGATTCTCGTGGGACAATAAGTTATGAAAACAAACCCACCATTCCATCAATTTCTCCCTCATTCTCCGCCCAAATATGTCGAAACTTGATTTTGTTTGATCGTAATTCAACCACCTTCAATAACCTTAATAGTAATCCTTTTTATATTAATGATGGAATATGAGGTTTTTAGCTAGAAAGTTTCGCGGTTTTTTTTTTTTTTTTCATATTGGGCAACAACTCTGTTTTTTTTTTATGAAAACTTCATCTTTTCTTTGGAAATCCAGTTTTTTGGATTTCTGCAACATTCTCCCCCCTTCTCTCTTTGGTTTTTCTCCTACTTAAATGGTAATGAGCTTGAATCGGGCGAGTCCCCACTCCGACTCCTCCAAATAACTCACCTCGGGCTAGCAGCGCCCAAGCCAATTCCTAAAACATTGCTATAAGTATAAACTATCGCAAGTTCTACATCTCCTTTGAAGGAAACCTAAAACATTGCTATAAGTATAAACCAAGGTTTGAAAACTCGTCGAGTCGAGCCGGACGCGTCCGGTTTGACTTAGGAATCGTCAGCTACCGAGCCGGTTCCACGAAAAAATCAGGAATCGCCCGTGTCCAGAGATAACCGAACGATTCAGAATAGTGAATCGCCGAGTCTCACCCAAGAACACGGGCTGCACAATGTTCTTCACGGATTTCATCTTTTTTTATCATTACGTTATCTTTTTTCATCATTACGTTATCTTTTTTCATCTTTTTCAGCCTTATAATCGAATCTTGCAGGTTTTAATTCAAAATTTTTAGCCATTTCACTCAATAAAAAACAGTAAAAATCACCGATTTTGATCAAATTTTTTTAGATCGAATAGTGCGTTTTAGGGTTTCCGCCATTTCACTGATTTCAAGCGAAAGAAGGCATCCTTTTTTGTAAAATTTCAGGGTGATTGATCGTAAGAGTGTTGTTCAGAAGTTTTTGTTTATAATTTATGATTATTTTGGAGGAATACATATCAATTTTGAATTTGAACGCATGGGTGCACGAAAAACAGGTAAGAACTGTGTTTTTTTTTTTCCCGCCATGCTATCAAATTCAGTCAATATTTTAAAAATCATGTGTTACATTTGTAGGGTTTTGATTCGTTATCGTGTTGTTTATCACATGTATTCAATTTGATTATATTTATTCAATTTGAGTTGGATTTTTGAGAAAAAAAGACTGATGTTTGTAAAAAAAAAATGGACTGAGTTTTTTTTTTTTTTTTTTCCACCATTCTCTCAATTTCAGTAAATATTTTACAAATAATGTGTTAAATTTATAGCGTTGTTTATCATCATATGTATTCAATTTGATTTGATTTATTCAATTAGAGCTTGATTTTTTAGATTGAATGACTGATATCCGTGAAAAACTGCGGTTTTTTTTTTTTTTCCTTCAATTCAATCGATTTTATTTAACATTTTGATAATAATGTGTTAATATTATAAGGCTTTGATTTCTTATAGTGTTGTTTATCAAAACATGCATTTAATTTGATGTAATTTATTCGATTTGAGGTGGATTTTTTAGTTGGAATGACTGATGTAAGGTGGGTCTATGAAGAATTGCGTTTTTTTTTTTTTTTTAATTCATGATCAATTTTTTTGAAAATCGTGATTTTTCGAAAAATTGTGACCAGTTTTTTATTATCATGAGGAATTAAACAATATTTTTAATTTTTATTGTTAAATTTTTAGTTCAAAAAATTGCATGTTGATAGATTATTTATGCAAAAAAATACATGTTATTATATTTTTAATGCAAAACTGTATTTTTTAATTTGTTGTTAATGCAAAAAAATACATTAACAAATACATGTTGTTAAACTGTATTATATTTTTAATGCAATTTTGCATTAAAAATGTATTTTTAATTTTTAAATTTTTAATGCAAAAAATTCATATTGTTACACTGTATTATCATGAGGAATTAAAGTGAATATCATTGTAAAAAAATCGTGGCATGTATGATAATTATATTATCTTACAATTTTTAATTTTATTATTAAATTTTCAATGTAAAAAATGTATGTTCTTGATAATTGAGTTGTAACCATGTTTGGAGCTTGGATTTTTTATTATATTATCTTGCTTATATGTAATTGAGATGTACGACTATTTGTGATCATTTCAATCGAGTTGGGATTGTGCCGATTATATCATTGTAAATTTTATTTGTGGCATTATGAATGACTATATCATTGTAAATGTTTTTTGTGTCATATATACGTGTAGTGGCATTATGGATGACTATATTAATGTAATTTTTTTCTTGATTCTAAGTGTGATTTATATAGACTTTTTTCTATCTGTAATGTTGCATAAATATTTTTTTTTTCTCAATAGGAACTAATTCATGTTTGTCGAAATGAAGATTTGTGACAAGTCCATATGTATTGACATTGTGAATTACTATACCATTGTCAATATATTTTTTATTGATACTATATCAATGTAAAATTTTTTTTCTATATGTAGTGGCTGATATAAGCTATTTTTATCTATAATGTTGCATAAATAAATTATTTTTTTCAGTAGGAATTAAAATATTTTTGTCAATAGAAGTATTTTGCATTAACAACATATATACCTTTTACATATTATCACTACACATGGTGATTATTTTTCATGTTGAACTGTCATGTTAA